TGCGTCTCCCTCCCACCCTCCCTATCCCACCCCTCTAGGTGGTCACAAAGCACAGAGCTGATCTCCCTGTGCTTCCCAGTAGCTATCCATTTTACCTTTGGTAGTGTATACATGTCAATGCTACTCTCTCACTTTGTTCCAGTTTACCCTTCCCCCCTGCCCATCTCCTCAAGTCCATTCTCTACATCTGAGTCTTTATTCCTGTCCTGCCCCTAGGTCCATCAGAACCTTTTTTTTTTTTTTTTAGATTCCATATATATGTGTTAGCATATGTTGTTTTTCTCTTTCTGACTTACTTCACTCTGTATGACAGCCTCTAGGTCCATCCACCTCATTACAAATAATTCAATTTCGTTCCTTTTTATGGCTGAGCAGCGTTGCTTTACAAAGCTGTGTTAGCCTTCACTGAACAACAAAACGAATGGGACATACACATACAGGTATCCCCTCCCTTCTAGACTTCCCTCCCATTTAGGTTATCACAGTGCACTAGGTGAGTTCCCTGTGCTATACAGCATGTTCCCATCAGTTATCCATTTTATACATAGCATCAATAATGTATATGTGTCAATCCCAGTCTCCCAATTCCTCCCACCCCACCCCTTTCCCTCTTGGTATCCATACATTTGTTCTCTACGTCTGTTTCTCTATTTCTGCTTTGCAACTAAGATCATCTATATCATTTTTCTAGATTCCACATATATGCGTTATTATACAATATTTGCTTTTCTCTTTCTCACTTCACTCTGTATGAACAATCTCTAGGACACTCTCTAGGTCCATTCACGTCTCTACAAATGATCCAATTTCATTCCTTTTTATGGCTGAGTAATATTCCATTGTATATATATATATATATATATATGTGTGCGTGTGTGTGTGTGTGTGTGTATATATATATATATATATGTGTGTGTACCACATCTTCTTTATCCATTCCTCTGTCGATGGACACTTAGGTTGCTTCCATGTCCTGACTATTGTAAATAGTGCTACTGTGAACATTGGGGTGCATGTGTTTTTTTGAATTATGGTTTTCTCAGGGTATATGCCCAGTAGTGGGACTGCTGGGTCATATGGTAGTTCTATTTTCAGTTTCTTTAAGGAACCTCCATACTGTTTGCCATAGTGGCTGTATCAATTTACATTCCCACCAACAGTGTATGAGGCTTCCCTTTTCTCCACACCCTCTCCAGCATTTACTGTTTGTAGATTTTTTGATGATGGCCATTCTGACTGGTGTGATCACCTAGCAGTTCTAATTCTAGAAATTTACACAAATAAGCAAAGATAGTTTTAATTGCAGCAATATTTATACTGGTGAGAAAATAGGGGGCAACACTAAATATCCATTTGTAGGATACTAAGTAAAAAAAAATGGTTCATTCATATATGTAAATTTATATAAAAGTTTAAAGAAATGAGGGAGAGTACACATATAGGCAGTAACTTGGAAAGATGTCAATGATATAATGTTAAGTGCAAGAACTAAAAAGTATAATATGAGCCCATTTAACATAGAAACTATCGATATAATTCTTAAAAAAATCCTATCCCTAAATAAATGGGAATGTTTAATACTTTATTATAAGCATCGAGATAGCACACTTCTTTAAAATAGTATTAGTCACCTTAAAAAGTACAAATTTATTTCAATTTATCTGAAGATAAATGTGCAACTTTATACAAAGATAATCGTTACAGTATTTTTTATAATTGTATCACAAGACCAAAAACCACCTAAATGCTCAAGAATAAGAGACAAACGGGATGTTTAAATTATGTATGAGACATACACAAAATGAAATATTGTGAGGACATTAAAAAGTATGTTTCTTAAGATATGCTTAAGGTATAATGTTAAATGAAAAATGTTAAGGGAAAAATACAGATAATAAACCCTGATAAACAACTGGATCTCAATTTTATATAACACTGAAAGAAAACATTTTACCAGTAGTTATTTCTGGGTAGTAAAATTATGGATGATTTAAGTTTATTCTTTTTATAGTATTTGTATTTCCCAGATTTTCTAAAGTGAGTATATACTAATTTCATAATCCAAAAATTGTTTATTTTAAAAAGAAGATATTCATTGTAACATAGGAGAATCGTGGGCCGGTTGAATGTCAATAAATCTTTGCAGGGATAAATATCACAGATATAGAATGAATTATATGTATATTTCAAAATTCAACTTTTAGGGCTTTATATTTCCCTTAAAATAATGTAAATGACTAAGAAGAATATTCATACTGAGTAGCTTTCTGATATTATTAAACAAAATGCAAAGTCAATTTTTTTATTCCAAGAGAATTCATATTCATTCATTCAATAGATATTTATTGTGTTCCTACTTTGTGCCAGGGTCTTGTTCTAGAGCAAGTCAGACAAAAATTTGGCTTCAACAGAGCTCACATTCTAGTAGGACAGACAGTTGATAAAAACAGAGTAGATATAAAATATAAAGTTAGGTAGTGATTAAACCCTATGAAAAACAATAAGTCACATTAAGAGATTGGCGAGTGATGGGTGCTGGCACTTTAAGTTAGGGTGTCAGGAAAACTCTTTTTGAGGAGGTGATATCTTGAGCAGAACCGAGACTGAAGTGAAGGAGTGAGCCGTGTGAACATGTGAGCTTTCCTGGCAGAAAGGAGAGCAAATACAGAGACTGAGGCAGAACTATGTTTGTTTTATTCCAAGGACAGCCCAGAGCCTAGTGTGGCTGGAGGACGTGAGCAAAGAGAATACACGGTGGGACCCGGAGGTCACTAGCAGCTGGACCATGTAGGGTCTTATAGGCCATGCTAAGGCTTTTGGATTCTATTTGACAGCTGGGCAATCACCGTATTTCAGCATAAAGTACACATGTAATAGTAAATTCTGTTGGAAAATTTTTTTAAAAAAAGGGTGCTGACCTTCAGTTATAATACCTAGTTATTTTTAAAAATACTGATAAGCATGCTAAGAAATTATTGTCATATGTTTAGAAAAGAATCAGTTGAATTATATTATTAATGCTATGTCTGCTTCATGCTCTCTGTGTTGGGCTTCTGCCCTACAAGCCAAGTATCAAATGACACAATTAACAGTTTAATTGGAAACCTATTGTCTGATTCAGACTTCTGTAAGATATGTTGCAAAATTGACTCCACTGAATTTCATGTTGCTAAGTTACCATGAATTCAACTCCTTTTAAAATCAGAGTTATAAATGTTAATTATTTTATAATGGATGAGAAATACCTTTGTGTATTTATCTTTATAACTCATGGTGTGGAAAATGAAACATGTCCCCAAACACATGATACTCAATCCACCTCTTTATGTATTTGGGGATACATCACACCCTTCCAAAGAAGAAAGATGAGAACGTCGCACCTGTGACCACCCCCTCCCCCCTACCGTGAACGCTCTTCTCAAACAGTGCTTATAGCTGATTCTGAGAGTATTACTTTATGGAAGATTTATATATTGTTCAATTGTAGGCAAACTAGGTTCTCTGTGCCCCCTTTCAAGTCACTGTATCGAAGCTATAAATTTCATTTTTAAAAATGGGATACTTGGTTGACCCTCAGGGTGACCCTGAGGAATTCTGTGTTCCGTTATCCACAAAACACACAAGCTGAGAAATGGCCCACTTAACTTCTACATTTCTGCCCAAGAAAGGTGGTGATATTTTTTCCACCTCTCAGGGAGCCAGCAGTAGTCATGCAAAGCCAGGTTAGGCAAGGAGAGACCCCCGTTTGGAGCAGAGGGTGTTTGCAGCAACATGTCAACTGCTGCTATCATGATTCTCTGCCAGTCCATTTCTTTATTTGTATGCATATAAATATATACACAGCATTTTAGAAATTATGAGATTAATCAACTTCAGAAAATGAAGGGCTGACATATGTGACTGCCAAATTCTTTTTTTTTTTTTGCCAAATCTTATTAAAAAAGCCAAAAACATTAAAAAAAATACTCTGTAATTCTGCTTCTGTTTGTGAATGCAGTTTTCATTACTCAATATGTTCTTATGCCTCGGTAAAAAACAGGTCAGATTTTAGAGGCTCTTAAGTTTCTAAGTTATTGACTTCGCCTACCAGCAGGAGGTATGCATCTGTCTGAATATGCCTTTCCTTCTGTGGCCCTGAAGTATACGCCTTCAAGACTTCTTGAAATGAAAATAATAACCATAATAGTGCCTAACAATAACAAGCCAACTATCCCCAACTGAGGGAGGACAGAGGGCAGGCAAGTGATGATCTACTGGGTTTGTATATCTGCAGAGAACAAGAAATACAAGTAAGTAATTTTCTGTCAAGATACCTGCAACAAATCTCTATGGAGACAAAGGCTCCGGGAGTGTATTTCTAAAATGATATCAACTAAACATAGAAAAAAAAGTCCTCAGGAAGGAGTAAGGGCAAGTCTGATGTAATGACATAAGAAAGCAGTAAGAAGAAAAAAAAAAACCCTTGCTTTTTTCTGATATAGAGGATGCACTCTGCTTTTGGTCATATAGGTTTTGGAACAACAGCTAGTATAACTTCTGTTTCATCATTCATGAAGCACATATACCATCTATATGATTTTCTGAGGAAAAAAAATGGATGAAATCAACTTGCAAGCAAATGGGAAAATATCTGAAATCTTCTTAAGAAATGTTCCCAAATTAAAATTTTGAATTCTACTATTAATACTACTATTTCTACATCTACTTTGAGAATACTGTGATAATGTTTTCCAAATCTTCCCCATATATCAAAGGAAAACTCATATCATCAACACATTGCTCACTGACACCCAGATCTAAACCTAGGACTGGCTTTAATGAAGCATATCAGTGGGTCACAGAGTTAGACAGCACCATAATAAGGTGCTTTTCAAATCATATGGACTAAAAGCACTAAATATATGAGAGACAGAACCGTGGAATTATTCCATCCCCAAAACAAAAACAAAACAACAACACAAAACTGGTAGACTTTCTTTCACTGCATTTAACCCTGGGCTAGACACTAGAAAACGGTTTTCAGGATGTAAGGATAATTTAACTCCTAATTAAACATATACAGTGAATCTACACCTCTACTTCAGTTTAAGAAATAAGAATTGGACCAAATCAGTTGAGAAAGAAAGAAGTCACAATAAAAACCAAGCAACTACCATCATAATTAAAAGATCTCTGGTTCCATCTTTATCAAGGTGGTCAAAACAAGATGGAAATCCTGTAATTTGGGCTTACTGGGTTCAGAATTCCTACTAGTCTCTAAACTCTGCTACTTCTTTCTATACCTTCTCTCCTCACAACTGCTTTGGACTCACCACTGAGGTCCAGATGATGACCATAGGGTACTCATAGCCACAGTCAGTGGTATGTCCTGTAGTCACTACTTTGATATGCGCATGGCTGCACAGGAACTAAATTAGGGACTGCCTAAACCTCAAAGTAGACATGGCTTTTCGGCCCGAGCCAGTGAGGCCACCATTATCTAAAGAAGCAAAGAAATGAACTCCCATCACAAGAATAAATTCCGGGGTCAAAAATATGACTTATGTAACTTAGCTTAAGAAATGGAACTCTGTCAATTCCATCCTATGTCATATATATAGTATATATGCCAACTCACACAGGTTCTGTTTTTCAACCCCTGGTGTAGACCTATGGTCAATGGTTCACCCCAACATTTGATATTATATATCAAGTAATCTTTCTCTGCTGGGGTTCTTCTATGTCTAGAAAAACATACATTTACATATATATATATATCCTTTTAGTCAAAAAGTGATTCATTTTGTATTACTAGATTATTCGATACTAAACTGGCTATGCATTAGAATCACCAGGAGTAAGCTTTTTGAAAAAAAAATTTCTGATTATCCCTACTCCTAATCACTACTTTCTAACCACCACGATTTTGATTCAGTAGTTTTTGGGAGATACCTAGTTTTGTTTTGTTCTTCTTTCCACTAATTCTGAGGTGCAGCTAGGTTTGAAAACAATTGTAATTGATCAAATTAAGAAATTAACTAGGTGGTTCTGAGTATGCATCTGAACTGCCTGGACGATACTTTAAAAAGCACAGATTGCTGGGCCTCCCCTCTGCAGTTTCTGATTCAGGTACATTTTGGGGAGGGGTCTGAAAATATGCATTTCTAATGTGTTTCCAAGCAATAGTGATGCTACTGGTCTAGCGAACCACAGTTTGAGAATCCCTGAACTAGAGAAGAAGAAGAGTGGTGGTAAGGGCTCAAGAAAGAAGACTAAATAAGACACGTTTGCCAGAAGGAGGACTGTAGTCCTTTTCTGACTGTTGCTAAACATCTTATCTAGACTGGGATCTCAGATGTTCCCATCTGAGAACTTCTAGGGCTTTGAATAAGAGCCTTTCTTTTCCTAGCAGGAATTTTATTTCCATAAGCTTCCTGGTACAATTCCATGATGCTGTAGTCATGAGTTGGGTTGAAGATAATCACAACACGGAGTTTCTGCAAACTAAAGTCTTCCTTTCTTTGCTTTTTTTCTGAGAAGCATGTACATACATAATTGCAGAATAGGAAAAATTGAGACGATACCTGTAGAAAGACCATTTTAGCAGAAACTGCCTGGCAGCTTTAGGAAAACTGGGTCTTCCTTCATAGGGTTTCAGTGCTTGCATCATCACATTGTCAAGCCATGCAGCCCACTGCTCCAGGGTGCTCTGCTGCTGAAGAGTCATCTTGAAGTCTGTTTCTAGTCTCTGAACCATGTTGTCATCACACTGACATACCCAGGAAGCCTGCTCCTGGGACAGTACACAGAAAGCAAAGAAAAAGTTCAACTCAGCACCTTTTCATTGAGTGTCAGCACATAAACCATAGGCATAAATGGCAAATTATATTGAAAGCGTAAAACAATTAAATGAATTAAGAAAATGAAGGACTACTTGTCAGTTATTAAGGAAACTAACATCGCCTTTGTGCATGAAAAAGTGATGTGACATAAAAGTATGACTTGGTTTTTCTACATTAACTAGTCTGTGTGAAAGACTAAAATATATGATTACTTAGGAAAAACAGGAGCCTGAACCTACAGTATGAGGCGTCTTTCTTTAGTTTTTACTCCCTCTCTTTTTTCTCCCAATCAGATAAAACTTTAAAGCCAATTCATTTGAAAAGATTTAGCGTAAGTCAGATGGATAAATAGATTCAATTGGCCAAAAGTGGTCCCTCAGGATTAAAACAAAAACAAACACTGAATGATACAAGGTAGAAGTATATGCTATATGAGTTTTATGGATAAGAAACTGAAGTCTCAAGGGCTACAGAGGCAAGGCTATGAATGCAAATTAATTCACAGAACCGAAAACAACAACAACAACAACAAAAATACTTTTGAGAAAATGTAGGAAGGCTACCTGCCAAGAAATTTGATCACTATAGTTTTCCTTCTGGTTCTGACAGGAAAGTTTCATGTTTGGTAACAGCAATGAAAACAGCAACTTCTAAAGTTAATTTTCAATGGCTGCCATAAGTTTTACAATGTTTCTAGTGCTACGTTGTATTTTAACATTAAAAAAATACTATACTCTTAAGGTCAGAATACAATTATTTGGTAATATAATATTTGAGTAAGGACATGGATGATAACATAGGGCCTGAATCAGCTAATCTGACTTCAAGCAATTCATTTAATCTGCGTGGGCCTCATTTTCCCCAAGCATAACATTAGAGAAATGAAATGTGACAAGAATTTTTAAACTGGGTTCACTGTGTCCAGATAATATTTTCACAATAGATTTCTGTGGAGGGGTGTCTGTGAAGGTCCTGATTCTATGTCTAAAACATTGTGAATATGTATGTATTTTTCTGAAAAGTGTCTACAGCTTTCAATCTACCTGTTCTCAGAGGACACATTTATTCAAATCAACCATTTCAACTAAATAAACCCCTAATCTCCACCCTCTGGTTCCAGCACCTCTCCTGGCCCTACAGACTTTACCTAATTTAAGAGACATTTCAACTGGGAGGTACTTCAAATATAAAATGCCCAAACTCAATTCATTTTATTTCTTCAGGGAAACCTAGGGTTTCTTCCACATTCCCAGCTGACGATACCATCTACTATCCTTCTTTCTCTTATCTAATTAGTAATAGTCTTTCCGATTTTACCTCCTAAATATCACTTTTAAGTATTTTAAGTACACCACAATGATTATTAAAAATTGAAAATACAAATAAACAAAAAGGAACAAAATATTAAGAATATCTAAAATGCCAACATTAAGAGATAACTACAACATGCTAATAACTTTCAAGCTGTTCACATGTAGTATATACATATGCATGTATGCTTATGTACATGTTATTTTAAAAGAGGATCATATTATACATTTTACTTGATATTTTGCTTAGTTTCACTTCAATATATATGATAAATGACTTTCCATATAGGCAAATGAGGAGCTATATTTATTGTTCAGTGACTGAATTTGCTTCAATTCATAAATATTCCATTATTTACAAAACCAATTCCATATAGTTACACATTTATGGTCATTCCAATTTCTTACTATTAGGAAGAATGCTGGAATTAGCAATCTAGTAACTACACCTTTGCTTACTTTTGTACTTTTTTCTATGTAATAGGTTTTTCAAAATACACTGTTAAATGACTCCCAGAACTTTTATATCAATTTAGGAGTCCAGAAGAGCACCCAGGGAAGAATTTATGTCTCAAGAAAGGATAGGGGAGGTTGTTTTCGTTTTTTCATTAATGGCTAAGCATTTTTTTTATTGTGGTATGGTAAAAAACACATAACATAAAACTTATCATCTTAACCATTTTGAAGTGTACAGTATAGGAGTGTTTACTATATGCTCATTACTGTGCAATAGGTCTCTTTTTCATCTTGCAAAACTGAAACTCTATACCCACTGTGGAAGATTTTTTTGTGCATTGATAAGAGGCAGGAGGAACTTACTGGTATCCTTGGAAGAATTTAATTTCATTTCTTAACATAAATTCAAACTCACTGCTTCCTAGGAAGTTAGTTCTTGCCAAGAGATAATGATAATCTAAAACTAAACTTAGAGAAATAAAGCCATAGGACATTATTCTGACTTTTCAAACTATATTATATTTCATTTTACTACTCTTAAGATTGAAAATATACTAACAATAGAGTACACTGTAATTACTCCTGTGAAGTATATTCCTGTGAAGGAGTTTGGATATTTCAGTTCTATAGTGGAAAAAGGTAAGGATGAAAATTAAAGATATTATTAAGTTGGAAATAAATTATCTCCAAGATGATAAGGAGTCAGTAGCTTCAAAATCAGAATGTCTTTTAAATACAGAAACACAAGTATATGCAAAAGTTAGGTTATCAGGTCAACCAACCCAAGTATATTTATTTAGCCCATACTGTATTTGGAAAACTATCCATTTACACAAAACAATTCTAAAGCAATACTATTGTAATGCTATCAGTTAATTAAAACAGAAAACCAATTATACGGCAATAGGAAAATTATCCTGAATGCATGAGTTAAAGATTTAATTAGAGAAGAATGAAGTAATGAAAGAGATTTATGGATATCCTGAAAGAAACATAAGCTCTTAGAGCATTAAAATATTGACACTTACATGTGATTTCATTGTTTTAAATTAAAGTTCCCTTATTACAAGAGCATCACCCTATATGTCTTAGGGTGTCAGTCTTAACTGAGGTTAATCTCGTAGGGGCAGGGACTTCCAAATGAACAGGAGAGCGTGATGAAGGTGGAATGGGAGGCAGGAGACTGAAAACCAGGTAAAATGTGGAACAGAAGAGGAAAGAAAGGAGTTAAAGATAAAATATGCTAACCTGAGAAAGAGATTACATATGAAAATGAACAGAGTTGTGAGAGGTAAAATGTAGGGGGAAATGGAGGGCACACCACTGCGCTCATGGTCCTCTAACGAAAGGAAGGAGGTCTTGGAGGACAGATACTTAAGCACACAGGTTTCAGCACTAATAACTGTCATGTGGACCCAGAAAAACTTGGTAGCTGAGAATAAAGGAAGGGAAAAGGTAACCTCAAAGTCGGTGAGTGGGGGATGAGTAGTAGTATAGATGTATAACTGACCATTTATATGCAATAATGTTGCCAAGGCTGGCGTTTATAACCAGGAAGAACTCATTTCTATACATACTTCATAGGGTTCAGGCACACAACTATACGAATGAAAATAATGTTAAAACAGAAAATTTTAAATCTTTCTCAGATATTATTAGGAATAATTCTTAAATATATTTTCGGTTATTAAACTTAAATTACTTTTTGAAACTAGAAGTTGCCTTACCATTTCTACTCTTCTTAAAGTACTTTTAAACATATCTTTTCTGAATGAAGATTTGAAAAAAACGTTAACAGTATACATTTTAAGGCAAAAATATATGAACTCAATATTCCCACTAAAATCAGTTAATGTAAATTCCACTGAAATATGTAAAGTTAATGGATTTGTAAACGTGAGACAGTTTGTTCTTGTGGAGCTTACATATTTGCATGTGTGTGTGTGTATGTGTGCTTGTATATATAAAAATATTTATGTAGATCTAAGAAAAACTATACACATTAGAACTTTAAACCCAATTCATGAAAGTCAGAATGAACTTAACTAATTAACGACACCCTAAAATAAATCAAACCCAAATATTACTTTTTGATATATTTTTAAATGATAAAACTAGTCCAGAATTGTAGATTAATTAAACTTTGTAGGAAATGGAGTAATAATTAGTTTATCTTTAAGCAACGATATTGTTTTTTAAAACAGTTTTATTGAGACATAATTCACAGAGCGAACAATTCATTCATTTAAAGTATATAATTCAATGGCTTCTTTCAGTATATTCACAGAGTAGTGCCTCTATCATCACAATCAATTTTAGAATGTATTCATTTCTCCAAGAAGAAACCCCATACTACTCCTTATCTATCACCTCCCAATCCCACCAGTCTACAGGACCTAGGCAACTACTAATTTACTTTTTGTCTCTATACATGTATTTGTTCTGCACATTTCATATAAATGGAATCATGCAACGTACGGTCCTTTGTATCTGGTTTCTTTCGCTTAGCATAACGTTCATCTCTGTTGTGGCATGTATCAGAACTTCATCTTTTTATTGCCCGATAATATTCCGTTGTGTGGAATATCACATTTTGTTCACATAGTCATCAGTTAACGGACATTTGAGTTGTTTCCACTTTTATGTGGCTAATATGAATAACGCTGCTGGAACACGCATGAACAAGTTTTTAGCTGGACATGTTTTCATTTTTCTTGGTATGTACCTAGCAGTGAAACTGCCAAATCATATGGTAACTCTAGGTTTAACCTTTTGAGGAACTGCCATACTGTTTACCAGAGTGGCTGCAGCACTTTGCATTCCAATCATTAGTGTATAAGGGTTCCAATTTCTGCACACCCTCACCAACACTTGTTATTATTTGTCTTTTTTTTTTTTTTTTTTTTTTTTTGCGGTACGCGGGCCTCTCACTGTTGTGGCCTCTCCCGCTGCGGAGCACAGGCTCCGGACGCGCAGGCTCAGCGGCCATGGCTCATGGGCCCAGCCGCTCTGCGGCACGTGGAATCTTCCCGGACCGGGGCATGAACCCGTGTCCCCTGCATCGGCAGGCGGACTCTCAACCACTGTGCCACCAGGGAAGCCCTATTATTTGTCTTTTTGATAATACCCATTTTATTTTTTGATAATACCCATTTTAGTGTGTGTGAAGTGGTATCTCGGGGTTTTTTATAGATTTAATTAATTAATTTATTTATTTATTGGCTGCCTTGGGTCTTCGTTGCTGTGCATGGGCTTTCTCTAGTTGCAGTGAGCGGGGGCTACTCTTCGTTGCAGTGCGCGGGCTTCTCATCGCGATGGCTTCTCTTGTTGAGAGCAGAGGCTCTAGGCTCACAGGCTTCAGTAGTTGTGGCTCGCGGGCTCTACAGAACAGGCTCAGTAGTTGTGGCGCACGGGCTTAGCTGCTGTGTGGCATGTGGGATCTTCCTGGACCAGGGCTCGAACCTGTGCCCCCTGTACTGGCAGGTGGATTCTTAACCACTGCGCCACCAGGGAAGCCCCTCAGTGTGGTTTTAATCTGTATTTTCCTGGTGGCTGCTGAATGAGTTTTCTGGTACTTTATTGGACATCTGTATATCTTCTTTGGAGAAATATCTATTTAGATCTATGCCCATTTTTTAAACGAGGTTGTCTTTTCATTGTTGGGTTATAATACTTCTTTTTATATAGTCTAGATATAAATTTTTATCAGATATATGATTTGCAAACATTTTTTCAATACTATAAGTTGTCGTTTCATTTTCTTGATGGTCTCTTTTGAAGCACAGAAGTTTAAAATTTTGATTATGTTCAATATTTATACATCTTTTGTTGCTTTTGCTTTGAGTGAGCCATGGACTGCTTTTTTTTTCATTGGTAACAATTAGCGTCATTATTTTAGTATCTGAAATAAAATACTTGTTGGGATTCCATAATAATATTCCTAAAGTAGCTATTTTTTACGTGTACTTTGATGTACAAGTGAGTAGTTTCGTCACTAGGTTAAAAAATTATTCTTTCATTTGGATGATCAAAAGAGTCAGATATGTTACACCTAATTCTTTTCAAATAACAAGTATTTACCAGGTACCTATAGTAAACTCTGAAATAGAGTTTCAAGGTGGGGCCCCCCTTTTTTTTTTTTTTTTGCAGTATGCGGGCCTCTCACTGTTGTGGCCTCTCCCGCTGCGGAGCACAGGCTCCGGACGCAGAGGCCCAGCGGCCACGGCTCACGGGCCCAGCCGCTCCGCGGCACGTGGGATCCTCCCGGACCAGGGCACGAACCAAGGTGGGGCACTTTTGAAAACAAATTTCTCGTGTGCGTGTCACGGTGCTATGGGCTTTACATATTACTAAATACGTAAACAGTAATCTAAGATATGTGTTATAAAATGGAGAAAGTAAAGCCCAGAAGAGTTAAGGAACTTGCCCAAGACCCCACAGCTAGTAGATGAAAGCGTTTCATCTCCTGCCTACCAAACTTCACTGACTGTGGTCATCATTACTCTATTATCAGCAAACCCTGGTGACATATGTTGCTGTCTAGCACTATAAATATTAGCAGACTTTAACCGCAAAACAGAGGAGTAAAATCATAGCTGAGTAAAACTCTCCTCTTTCAGGATATTGTGAATCTAGATGTGCCTGTGAATTGATGTAACTTTGAAAAGAAATATGATGATCCTAATTAAGAAGAAAAAAATTGGATACTTTTCATTAAAAGACACGTTTTGAAAGAAAACAGAGTACCTGGACATTGGCAAAGTCGACACGGTTGAGGTCATTGAGCATCTGGTTGATCTGAGAAGTGTTCTGAAGCACTGCACGAGCTGCCTGGGCCAGGTGATTGAGCGACGTGTATCTTCGCAGAGTCTGGGCAAAGGCACTTACAGCTGCAACCTGTAAAGAAATCCAATTAAGTTGGGATTTTTTTTTTCCCCCTCCGGTAAAAGAAACCACTGCAATCTTCAAATCTTTATTCCCTTGCCAAATTTTAAATGCTTCCCTCTGATACTTATTTCAAATTCATTTGGTGAGAGAGCTTACTTGTAAATTATAGCATTTAAACCTCTAAACCAAGTATTACTTTCCTTTTGAGTAGGCTGAGGTCAAGGCTAAAACAAACTCCCACATTTTTCGACATCTGAGTGCACCATTAATTAAACCAGTCTTGCAAGTAGCTACTAATCCATAGCAAGAAATGATTTAGTCGAGACAAGTAGGAAAAATGTTGATTTTCATTTCTTATTCTCTGTACGACAGTCAACTACAAACTAAGCAAATAAAATATTTTTTCCTTTTACTTGGAAAACCACACTATCCAGTCCCACTTTTTAAACTGGATTAAAAAACATGCTTTTCAGAGCACTGTCATTAAGATTCACTCTTTTAACCTTTATTTTAGAGGTGAAATAGGAGTGGGTAATTCTGAGGTGAAATAAGAACACTCAAAGACTTTATTAGCAAATACATAGCTAATAAACTTATCGGATACAAGCAACTCTTCAGAATTTGAATTTCTGTAAAAGGGCTATCCAGAAAAATCTCCATTTGTCCTTCAAAATGTACTTTCCGGCCTTCTCCATTCTGCTCTGTGCCCAGGAAGACTAAACTGAATAGATTACATTAACTGCCTCTCTTGCCCTTTGGCTTCCAGTTGGGTTTGGCCAATGAAAGGCACTGGTAGGAGACTGAAGGATGGAAGAAAGTAGTCAAACTATTAATTCCCTCACAACCTCTGCCCTCTCCTTCATAAGGCCACAGTTCTGGAGGAAGGAGAAGATCTGATGCCATAATCACTTCTTTCCCCTTCAGACCTAGGGATGGGCAGGCTTCCCACTATTTTGCTAGTCCTGGGGTGCTGTACCATTCCTCCTTGGTTTTCTTAACTCTTTTCACACGTTTAAAAACAGACGCTTCTTAAAAAAAAAAACAAAAACAAAAAAACAGACGCTTCTTAAACTCTATTCAATTATCCTCCCTTTTGGATATACCATTTTTTTCCTGCTGAAACCCTGAACAAACTGGGTTATATTGAAAGATAGCAAAGCTAACGACAAAGAAAAAGTCTAGGTAAATATCTAAATCTCATGATCTCATGAAAATTTGTTACTTGCATAGCAGATCTAATGAGGACTTTAACATATTTACAGGAATGACATTAAATTACTATGGGTATATAACAAGCAATTGATTGAACAGTCAGTTGGCTGAGCGGTAGAAGGTGTTCCACAGGCCAAAGGATGCTCTATCTTGATAGTGAGATGTTTCAGGACCATGTGGAACTTGGGGGACGTTCACATACCCCCAAAGAGAGTATTTCACATTTTCCCATCTCTGTGGTTTATACTAATCAAGGACATATCACGTGCCAGGTACTGTGTTAAATGCCTAACATACATTACCTTGCTCAATTCTCATAAACATTCTATTAGACACATGTTGTGACTTAGGGAGGTTAACGATCTTGCTCAAGGTTACACAGAAACTACAGTACAGTGGTGGGATATGAATCCAGGCATTTTGATAATAACTTTCAGTCACAACCTCATTATGCTGTTTCCACTGTCACGCTAGATCATCTTTGTTGATTAAATGCTCAGCTGAAAAAAGGCTGCATGTCCGTGAGAGAGGAATAGCAGAAGGCACCTTCCTCCAAGGTAAACCACCCAGATCAACTCTAGAGATCAGTGAGATGGCCCATATTGCAGATGGATTGCTACCAGATCCACTTTGATGACACTGGGGCAGGAGGTACTTTTAGCTGTTTGAAAGTACTGTTATAACTATGACTGACTTTGCAAGTTGGAAAACATTCCTCTGACCATCATAATCAAATAGCACCTCCTTTATTTGCCCACCTGAACGTGGCACTCTAGAATAGCACTACCATGGAGAGCTTTCTGCAATGACGGAAACTCTCTACTTATGTGTTACCCAGTATGGTAACTACTAGCCACATGGGTTAAGGTGCACTTGAAATGTACCTAGTGTGACTGAGGAAGTAAATTTCAATGCAATTTAATTAAATTTACAATTTAAATAGCCACATGTGGTTAGCCCTACTGTATTGACAGCACAGCTCTAAAGCAACAATCTAAGGTGGGCATATTCATGAAATGTGTCCTATACATTTTCGAGATAGAATGTGTTATTGCAAACCTTAAGCTGAAGCAGACTTGTGCTATCACAGACTTGTCAGCTACAAGAGCTTCAATTACACTCTCAAACTGAAAGCCAAGGCATATTGCTGGCATCTGACAGTAGATACAGACCCTGACAAAAGGCCACAAATGTGATTTTTGTTATCAAAGTTTAGACAGAATCAGTCCAATCTGTCATGTATGTTCACAGATTAACCTAAAGTAACATGGTTAGTAGGGGACAAAGTGGAGAGGAGAATTCATATCTCTAGCTAAATAATCCACATTCCTGAAATATACTCATCAACTATGAGATAACTGTTCTCTTTAAGAAATGATTACTTGGGCTTCCCTGGTGGCACAGTGGTTAAGAATCCGCCTGCCAGTGCAGGGGACACGGGTTCGAGCCCTGGTGCAGGAAGATCCCACATGCCGTGGAGCAACTAAGCCCATGCACCACAATTACTGAGCCCATGTTCTAGAGCCCGCCAACCACAACTACGGAGCCTGTGCTCTAGAGCCCGCGAGCCACAACTACTGAAGCCCACGCACCTAGAGCCCGTGCTCCGCAACGAGAGAAGCCACGGCAATGAGAAGCCCGCGCACCGCAACAAAGAGTAGCCCCTGCTCGCGGCAACTAGAGAAAGCCTGCACACCGCAACGAAGACCCAATGCAGCCAAAATTAAATAAATAAAATAAATTTGTTTTAAAAAAATGATTACTTGATTCACAAAAGCATTCTCCAGTGTTAAAAAACCAAAACATCCTGAAAAGCAAATGGTTATTAATTTACACGAACATTTCGGAATACAATGAGTATAGTAGGGGACCTAAAAATTCTAAAACTCAAATGGAAACTATTTGAACATTCTAGGCTGTTCTTTTCAATAACTGAAATTAAGCAATCTTAAATATACACTTTAGAAAAGGGCTGATAAATACACCACATCTAAAATGTTTCTCTAGTCTCTCTGAAAAGAGCATCATCAAACAACATATCTTGTGCAAGTTCTTTACCACATGGTTATAAAATACAAATACAAAAATCAATTTAAAAAGATTTAGTTTATTATAATATTAATATTCTATGTAACATCAGCTGATAGGACAGATTTAAAATTCACAGTTCATAACGATTTCCTAAACACAAAAGAAAAAGCAAGGACATAAAAGTGTACCTTGGTTTGTATCATTCTCTGTGGAATATTGTTCATGGCATTGGAAAGCCAACCTTCAAGGCTTTTTGCAAAATTTCGAATGGCTTGGGTCAAGGCACCTAAATGTTAAAGAATAAAAGCAGAACGAAAAAGATACCAAAGAACATTAATCTTTATGCTAGAATAAGGGAAAACATGCAAGCACAACATGTGAAATAGCACAGAGCTTATATTATCCTCATTGACAGGACTTTATTTAACATTATTCCTAACTTTGAAAGAATCCAAATATTATATCATGGGCTTGTCTTTTAAAGCTATTTTGTTCCCAGATACTTATGATACTTTGTTGGGAAATGAAAACATTCAAACATTTTTGCTTATAGCAACATATACCAGTTGTGAATATACTTATGGAATTTTTTTATCTTAGACAAAACACTCTTTTCAAAAGCAGCTTTGTGCTCAAAGGCTAAGTATTTTCTTTAGAAATTCTTTATCTTGACTTTTTTCAAGCTCTTAACCTATTTTCATTTCTTTAGTTAAAAAGAAAATAATGCAAAGCTTTCTCTTTTTCTCTATGCATCTCTTTACATTAGAACATGTCAATTAGAGTAGATATCTCTCACTCGTGTTGAAAAGTAAGGTAAAATTAAAATTGCCTGCCTTGATACTTCTGGATAACTATTCTCCATTTCACTGGCAGGTAGCGATAAAAGATCACTGTGATAATAAAATTGCTGTCACAGAGGCCAATATTCTTAAGATATTCCTAAAACAGTCCATTCCATACTCTTTACATCTCTGTTAAAACCTGAATAGGGATAGGTCCCATGAGAGTAGTGTTTATGGTGGTCATAAAATGATTAGCAGCATTTTCCGTTAACAGGGGTGATTATGACTATTTTATAAGAACGGATCTGCTTACTGAGATGGCTGTATAATAGAAAACAGAATTCTTCTCTTGTTCAACAAGTAATTCAGTCAGTAGCATTTTACTTCACCTGTGCCCAAGGCTCCACAGTGTAGGGAGCAGTTTTAGACATTTAATAAGTAAGTGTTTGAAGCACCCACAACAGAAAATAAATCCCTGTGGGTTCCCTATAATGTGGGTAAGTCTTACAATTGGTAGTCCGCAATAAGAGACAGAGAGGTTACATTTTTGTCCAAGGCTCCCAAGAATATTAATGTTAATGATGGGATTAAATTCCTTGGTTTTTCTTTCTGTGCTCAAATGAGTCTGACATGCTTCTTTACTACTTTTGTTAAAGCAGGGTTAGAAATAATTAACTTACTCAAATTAATTGCGAAAGATATAAATTTTACTATTCCAATAATAAAAACAACTAATTTTTAAAAATTATTTCTTTAAGTGGTCAAATGACAGAAGAGAAACTGAGATGGCTACATTTTGATTAGGAAAAACACTCAAGAAGTGCAGACTTTTAACCATGAGAATCATCTATTGGAAACACTGAGCTGGAAATTTCTTGAGAACTAAGTTTTTGAAATTTCCAAAGCTTCTCACTTCAGCCAAAAAGAAAAAAGAAAGAAAATTATTTTTCTGTTGTATTATGTACTGGAACCATGGAGGGCAGGCATGAATGGAAATGAAAAACAGTGGAAAAAAAAATTAAAGACCCTCTTTGAAACTCAGTAAAATTTTGTATAAGATTCAATTTGGCTATCTGTATTATGCAGTTTTCTATAATCAATATATAATAATTATTTAATCTGAAAAAAACAAGAACTGAGAAAAGTTACTTAAAAAATTTAATATGGGTCTTGTTTTATTTAGACACATTTAATGCTAGGGAGATTGTAAAATAAAAAGATAATGCTTTGTATCTCAAATGATTGTAAGTTTTTCCTTTTTTGTACTAAATGACATTTTGGGTCACCTTTAATTATAATCATAAATTGTACATTTGAGTGTTACCAGTTGAGTTCTTACACAATTTTTTACACTTCACTTTTTTTCCCCCATTTTCAGATAAATGTATTTTAGAGTATAGTAGCTTCAAGCTGACTTTAAATTAGTGTGATATGCAGACTTTTTTGGCTAAAAAAAGGAATCCCATCTGGACAGTAAATGGTAGAGTGAAGTACTAGTAGCCAGGAAAATTAAATTTTCAAAAATAAAATTAAGTTTGTTCTCTCTATAGGGATTCATGTCAGATCAAATTGTGCAGATTGACAACTTTTTCTCATGAATGGATGGTTAGAAATTTAAAACTACTCTAAAGCTAACTTGTCTCAACCTGCTTATGATTAATATTAAAATGCACAATCAGAAGATAGTGATCTACACTGTATTTTAAGCTTTATTTTTGTTAAGTCTTGTTATAGAACAGGAATTAACATTCCAAATTTACTTGGTAGGGTGGCACCTTAATGCACCTTGTAATTTCAGAGAAACTGTAAAACTATACTCATAATTCCTGAATTTGAGTTGTCTGAATGCAGAGACAAACTACTTGACAAAATAAAATGGTTTTCAAATCAAAATTTGCCAAAAACAAAGGTCATGTGTATTGTGTGCTTAAAAATTCTGGGGTTTAAAGCCAACTACACTTGATACGTGATTTAACTTAGGGAACCGCTGAGTTTACAAGTTAAAGTCTTGTGATGCTAACACAGAAGCAACAGATTTTAGAATTGTTTAATGAACACTGATGTTGTTGACTGGCCTCAAAAAAGAAAGCGTTCACTGACACCTTTTCTTATAGCTCATGAGAGAAATTTGTGTTGGTGGCAAGATGTCATAGGCTAATGAGATACCCTATGCAACTTCTCTTAAACATCTCTAGAGATTATCACTCAGAGCACAGGAAGCAAGACAAAAACAGGAAAATCAGATTCTGCAACATAAATCAGTAGAGAATTTACACGTTGAAATTTTCCATGACAACATCACTTTTAATCAATCTTTAGTCAGGAAACTTGGTGCAGATAGGGTAGAAAATATTAGTAATTTATAAAAATGTGAGACCATGGCAGCTGGATTTTTAAAAAACTAATTTCTATACAAATTTATGTATGTTTATGTGTGTGTTCATTGATATTATATGTAAATGTATGTCTAAGCATATATTTTATGGTGGTAGGGAACATATGAAGTAACGCATATCTTCCACTGTTATCATATTTTAAAAAAGAAAGTATAAACATACAAATGTTAGTATCTTCACCATTTCTCGCTAAATCCCTATTTAAATATTTTCTGGAATAATTTAACACAAATTAACTGTGAAGAGTGTACTTCGAGTACATGGCTGCTAATTTTACAAGCTAAAAGATTGCTTTTACCTTATTAATGTCATTGTAGAGTAGCAATTCTGTTCCATATCTTTAAAAGTTAAGGTTACCAGTAGGTGCTCATAAAGATGTAGACCTAAAATCATTTCAACTGTCTCTAACACAAGTATCCATGATGGCTCTTATAGTGACACGTGCAAAAAATAGCTTTGTTTGCAACAGGGTAGTTTAAAAAACACTATCACTTAAAAAAGTAATCTAATTTATCTACGTAATTCCTATTTGCTTCATGGCAGGAATACACTGCTAGTGCAGGTACATTGATTTTTCTCTCAAAATGCCAGTTAACCATTACTGTTAATGGAAACTGCATTTGTAGTTCTTAACGTGATGTCGGTGACAAAGTAAATGCTTTTATAAAGAAATTCAACTTCAGTAGAAACCAAGATAGATTGCTGGTCTAGCAATTACAGATTTCAAAAATTCGGGGCTTTATGAAGGAAACCTTTTCCTTGGGTAGAATGATTTTCACATGGTTGACTGGCCTGGGAGTGTTCTTGCAATTAGTCATTGGGGCTGTCACATCTACAGGTTGTCTTTTTTGTCAAAAAGAAAATGAAAGATTGAAAAACAGAGAATTTTTCCCTTTTTACTACAGTTTTGCTCTAGGCTGCTTTCATGCAATACTCTGTGTTGCATGTTTTCTATTTGGCAAATTTAATGAGATTAGAATCATTCTAGTTTGCAACGTCACTACCCAAAACTTCCTGGGTGGAATGTATGAGAACAAAAGCATCCGTACTTGTCTGCATTTAACTTACTAGGAATAGGTCTAAGGACGTCGGGGATGAGAATCTCCACCAAAGCCTGGTACATCCCATGGTCACAGTTACACATCCATTTCAGGATAGACTCATGTTTGCACAGAGTTATCAGCTTTGCTTTCGGAAGTCGACTTTCTATTTCACTCAGATTGCTGGTGTGAATAAATGTAGCAAATGAATAGATGGCAAATGAGGATAAAAAAGAAAATGGACTTTAAAAATAGTTTTAGTTTATCAAATATTACTGAGGTTAGAACTATACCACCATTGCCCTGGTGCCACACGGCTGGATATATATAACACTCCCCCAGAGCTGCCTATGCACGTTAATACTTTCTGACGGTATGAAAGGCAGATATGATACTAATTCCATGAGGATGAAATAGTTCTACTGCAGTCCCCCAAATCAATATAAATGGGAGCTATAATACACACGCTGAAACCTCAAAAGAGTAGTTTGTGGTTTATTTCAATCTATTCAATTAATGTTATCAGGTAAGGTTCACAACTGGTATACATATCTCTAATTTGTTAGCTGTGACATCTACTCAGCCATGAAAATGAATTGGAAAAGCATATTGATTCTGACCTTGATTCAGTAATGGTAGTGCCGTCAGCTGGAGTAGAGGGAGAATAGCGCCAGAATGTTTGCCACAATTTTTCTATCAGGCTAAATTGAAGATTCACAACAACGTCCAATATTGCCTAAAAAACAAAATGGTTATTGATATTACCTTACAAAATTTCTTATGGGGATGTGTGAGGAGTACATACTGTAACAAGACTTAAATGTAAAGATACTTTTGGGTTCATAAATTAATATGGTAAAACTGGACTAAATTTTGCCAATGGAAATGGGAAAACAAAAGAGATTAGCTAGGAAAAAACCGGGGGAAATAGCTCTTAAATGATTAAGCAGGGTAACTTGTATTCCTCCCAGAATGACCTCACGTCCCACCCTTACTTTTTCCTCTCTCTTTTCTCTCCTTTTTCCTCTCTCTTTTCTCTCCATTTTCATGCTTGCTTCCCTAACTTTTCTTTCATTCCTTAACCCACTACTTCCCCGGTTCCCTTACTATTCTCAGATCCACAGGGACACAGAACATACATTCAATTCACATCAGTCTTTACTGGACTAGCTGTGTCCACTAGCCATAAAAAAAAAAAAAAAAGGAGAAGAGAAGGGTATGGAGGTGCTTGTGTATGGCAGACGGAGTTAGGGCTCAATCAGCTCTGGTTAGGGTTGCTGACCATGGGTTCTGGAGTGTTCCTAGCCAAGCAGAGGCTGAGGGCAGAAACTACAGAGTCAGGCTGACCTCCAGAGGGTAGTGCCTGTCTTGGCAGAAGAAAAGCACAGCAAGCACCTCTCTGTGGTCAAAGAATGGCTCACATTCAATCCTCTCTCAGCATACACCCTTTAGAGAGAAGCTATAAGACTATCCCCTTTTCTAACCTCGGGGGTGGGGCCCTCACCTCCTCCTCCTTAATTTTATCTCTTAGATCTCCAGCTGCATCAAGGACATTTTTATTTTTTTGATGATGCTAAAATTTGCCACTTTCATTAACTTTTGATGATCATATTTAATTTCACCCTGCCATTGCAATTAGTCTGCAAATTCGCCTTCAGATAAAAAGCAGTCATAAAACCAAAACTTGTTTGTACAAAGATCACATGATTCTGTGATTATTTTCAGTATAAAAGACAAGTCCTCAGTATAATGTGTTTGATGTCATCAGCACTGAGAACAAAAACACGTAAAACAGTCCCTTCAAGATCTGCAAAATTCATAGAAGCTAAGAGACAGCAAGGGGCAATCGAGAGAATCAATCTGAACATTTAAGGCAGAAAGAGGAAACTGTAACTTTGTAATTCTGGAGTCTGTGCTACCCGTGTAGATCTGGCCCTGTGCATGATACAGAGAATAATTGATGTTCTATACAAAAACACTCTGAGACCAATTCAAGTATTAAGCAAAATCTGTTTGGGGGCACGTTCTGGGAACTAGTAGGAAATGTTGCAAGTAGTTGGAAAATGAAAATGGAGGGAAGGGGACTAATTAATTAACACTCTCCTCACCCTTTAATATCAGCAACAATAAAAACACAAAAGCAAGCCCTGGAAGGAAAGGCATCCAGATGTCCTTGCTCCCAGGCAAAACCCAAAACCTTCTCAGGAGGCAAATTATTATAGCTGTGCTTTCCCAAATGTAGTTTAGGCACATTCTGAGAGATGTCTATTAATGAAGCAATTAGTAATATCTGATATAATACCTTACATATTTCTAGCTATGAGACTGCTGTAAGGACACTATGCATATATTAAAAGAAAAAAATGACTGTCAGAGCATCTTGTGTAGAAAATTATATTTGTTCCTTACATAACTAGTGATACTTCCAAAATATCTTTGATAAGCCAACTGTGCAAATTCCAAATAACAGCCAAAATGGGTATATTAATCTTTCTTAAAAAACATAAATTATAGGAAATATGAAATAAAATAAGGCAAGTCACAAATTCAGTGCACCTTAAATTAAGTATCTCTTCAAATGAAATAATCTCAAATAATTCTTCTGAAAAGGACATTCATATCAGCCACATTTAGTCAGTTTTACAAATGAATAAAACATTTTATCATTTGTCCACCCACTTTTAAATATGTTCAAACTAAAATGTATGCCAAATATAGTTTAAAATAATCTGTATTTCACTGGCTCAGGGCAAACAACCATTTACAGGACTGGATCCGAGACTCAGGCACCTGTCCTTGAAAAGTTTGGAAGTGTGACAGGAAAAAATAATTAGAATTCTTCCTTTTCATATATGTCTTTATGCCCCATGAGAGATGGCACGAACACTGGTAACTCCGAAATAAATGAGGATCATTCTATGAACTGCCATTTCCCATGCAGATTAATTACTATATATGTTCATATCTCTTCATATAGAGTGTTCCTGGCAATTAATGAAAATTTTGTAATCCAAAGAATATTTTCATCTTATTGGGGGAATTTTTCATTTAGATTAATTTTAATGTATATTCTTTACTAATGTAAATAATCATGCTCCAAGTTATATTTTGAATAAATATGAGCAACTTAAAACAATCCAAAATATATTTGTGTAGGCGGGGTTGCTTGAAGCAAGGTTCACCTGAACACAGAGAAATGAGAAACTGATTAGAGAATCTTTATGTAAATCTTCATTGAATATACATGGTGTTCATGCAGAAAGAAAGAGAAATTTTTTTCTAGATAGGTAAGGATCAACCAGAAATTCTCTAATATTGGGAAAAGCAGTCAAAGAGAAACAGATAGTAAGTGCTTTTCATCATAACAAGAAATGTTGGGAACAACAAACTGGTAGGACATGTTGAAAAACACTTCTGGCACACAGTTTGTTAATAAAGAGAGAACTTGCCCTTGGTTGTTAATAATCTAGCACCCCTGACAAGTACTCAGATTCACTCAAGCAGTTCTTATTTCTGGAGTGGGAAAAAAAATCTGTGAATGTTATGAGCTGAGACTTCTCACTGCATACTGCATTGTCAGCAGTCAGGAGGACTGCCCAAGGATTATCTTTTACTTCTAAGTAGATCATAAATAGCCCTGGAATAAAGCTACTTAAGTTCTAAACTGTTCCTCTTTCAAAAGGAGGGGTACTTTAGAAGACTCTTATTGCAATCTGTTATCTTCTTTCTACCAGGTGAGCTGCAGGTACGAGCGGGCTTGGAGAGAGTTCACCTCCTGGAGACAACGTAGCCAATTTTGATACAGGATACTCAGAAAGGGAGTAGGAGTAGGGATGGAAAACACCAAGAGAAAACCTAATTAACCATGAAAACAAAACAAACAAAACTACAGCCTCAATGATCCCTGGAAGGAAAACCTAAAGTGCTTTATAAAACATTTCTAGAAAATAGTTTTGATAGAAATACACAGCTATCATGTAAAATTCAAAAGGTAAAAAGAGTATATTGAAAAATTAAGTCTCTTTCCCCTGACTCCCAGTCACTAAGTTTTGTTCCCAAAGGCAACCAGCATTAATATTTTGTTCTTTCTTCTGGAGAGATGTATATAACATGTTCTTTTTCACTCAAATGATAATATATTATACTTGCTGTTTTACATCTTGCTTTTTCCCTTAAAAACAAATCCTGAAGCTTGTTCCAAAAAGTACATTTAGAGTTGCCTGTTCTTTTTAATGGCTGCATAGCATTCTACTCTATAGATCATACCATATTTTATTTATTCAGTTCCCTGTTAGATATTGAAGTTATAAGCAATCTTTTTCATTAAAAACCATAATGCAACAAGCTCCCTGTACACTTATCTCTTCCCCTACATGTAAGCATTTTTCTAGAAGGAGTACCTAGAAGTGGAATTGCTTCATCAAAGGATTCGTATTAGAATAGGCTAAGAAGATGGAAAGTAAAATTTATTCTCCCCGAGACATGAAGAAAAGATAACTTATTAGTGCTCAAAGAAATATGAAGTAACTTTATCTGTCCTCTAGGAATATGTTTGATTATTTTGCTTTAGCAAGTTGCCTGGCAAAACTTAGCACGTGTCCGACTGTGTTTGAAAAGACTTACCTCACAGTGCTCTCGATAAAGACTCTGCAGTGACTTGATATCCTCAAAGGTAGTACCATCTGGCAGAGAAGAGATTTCAACTTCTCCAAACTCTGGAAGTGCTCGAGATGCATCTGTTACCATGACAACACAACAGAAAAAAAGTTATTGTGGATGGTGCCAATTACAGCTTAATGAGGGCAAATTTAAGAAGATTAAAAAGGAAAAAAATTTAAAGGTCAGTGGTCCAAAAAGCAAGGACTTTTCATATTAGTATTTTATAAACAAAACTTAGCAGCAGCAGCAGCACCAAAGAATAGAGAGGATACTTCTAAAATTTTGGAGAAACTAAATTTTCACTATGATTATATTGGAAATAACACATCTCAGTGTCTCTCAATATAGGACCCCTATGATAGGAAAAATACCTTGAGCTGGCCAGTATCAATTTTAGTTATTTTTATCATTATATTACTTAGGTACATAAAAATAAATCTAGCTTTAAACTTATTATGCTTATACCTCTCATATAATCATAAACCAAAAGACCTACGAAATAAGTACAAAGAAACCTAAAAAAATAACATTAAACTTAACAACATTAATTTGATATGATAGATGATGCTGTTGTCCTGTAACTAAATTACCTCTTGCAACATGAATATGGTATTGACTGCTGCAGCGCAGGATCTTTTGAGTTTGATAACCCTATACCAACACGTACTTCATGATGGCTGGTTCTCCCATTATGCTTCTATATTCAAATGAGCTGTGAAACTTTCCTCTACACAGAGCATTGGGACATCATTTAGCCTTCCCTTGGTATGAAGGCGTAATTTACACAGTAAGTCTCTCTCTATTCTTTTCTCATTGGCTCTGGACAATAATGCAATACACTTTGGTGCCAGCCTTATGATAAATTCAAATACAAATGTGGAAACTAAAATTGCAGAACAGTATTCGTTCTAGTCTTCCAGGTGATCCAGAATATGCTTTTATTTTTTTTTAAGATTATAATTGAAATAATGACACAAAATAAAAAACATAAAGATTCTTGCTGAAAGCTCAAGGGTCTACAAGAATATACTTGAGGACTCTAGTTTGGGAATGCTGCCATAATGCTTTCATCTTCAGTAGCCATTCTGACCCCAGAGTACATTTCAGTTGTCTTTGTCAGAAAGTGCACATAGACACATATACACACACACAGACACATACACACACGCACTCTCTGAGAGCTTCTACTTATCTTGATCTGTTGTACCGAAACTATGCATGTTCATCTCTAGAAGAGCTGTCAATTAAAGTGCCATTTTTGCACCTTTAGCTATGACAGGAATATGCAAAATGTTCAAGTTCCACTTCCTTAACTCTTTAAATAACAAGAAACATGCATACCATCTATAAAATTACAAAAGTAGGAAATACTGTGATCAATTTAAAAGAATAAATTACTTTTTAAAAGTTTATAATAATTTTTTCTAATCTGAGACTAAATGCATATGCAACTTTATACGCAGGAAATGAGAATTCTTTTTGGCACTTCAAGTTACTACTGAAACTACCACACAATTTTGATCATAAATGCCCAATTAATACAAATTCTGGAAAACAATTTCATAGAAATAAGCCTTTAATTCAGATGCATTTAAAAGTTCTACATAGCTTGAGATTTTAAAAAATAAGCTCTTTTTCTATGAAAAAGTAGAAATGAACTAGAACTATCATATAATGTGCATAGTTTCAGCACACAAAAAAAATCTATGTAATTAACATCTGTAATAGACATTGTACTTGGAGAAAACACTACTGTTGTTCTCTTGTTTTCAAAATCCTGATAGCAACTAATATGCATTACACCTTAACATACCTAAAAACTGTTGATGATGTTGACTTTGGGCAATTACAGTTTGCTCAACAGATGTGCCTGTCTGTTGACCACTTCCTGTGAAACCATCTGCAACCCCATCCACTTTCTGCATAGGCTTGTACCTAAAAATATTAGATGGGAAAAAACAAATAAACCAAATTATTCCTTGCTTTTTTGTACTACACAAAACTCCCAAGGCATTCAATTTTGTTCTGTCTTCTTTAATGTCTTACGATAGTTGTAAGAATTTCTTCCTTGACAGTCTCATAAAGTTAGGATGAAGAAATTTTTAAAATTGTAAAAAGGAAAAAGAAGGGGAGGGGCTTAGGAAGGGGACCCATTTTCAAAAATTCAGAAATTTAGCTAAGAATGAAAGCGTTATGAGGTATTTCTTTGGACAGCAGTAGCAAAGATGTCCATGATTATAGTTTTAATACACAGTTTGAACATAACTTTTAATGGCCAATGGATCAAGGGAGAAACATGTTAAATACATTGGGATGTTAATCTGAATTAAGATCTAGGACATTGGGCCTGAGAAATGTTAATGAATGGCTTTCATTTAATTTATATCTCCAAAATATGATTCAGCCTACGAACTCTACCATACTGTTTTTCATATCACCTAAAGCCTCCCATGCATATCAACACATTCATCTCCTTTGACTCCTGTCCACATCTGCAAATACAAAGACCATAAGCATCAGCTTGCAGCAAAATGCATGCAAAAATCCATCTACAAACCTAGGTTATCAAATTTAAAAAATAAAAAGAATCAAAGTCAGCTACAATTATGTATTTATATTTAGGTCCTCGTTATACAAACTCATGAACGTTCCATACTGCTAAAATAGAGAAAATATGCTTCAGCAGCACGGGCAAGAAGGGAAAGACTGCTTGGGAGAGAAATACCGCATACAAAAAATGCATAGGTAAGTCTCCTAGGATAAGCAAATACAAAGTAAGAAATAAGCAGCAACTATAATTTCTTCTTTCTCTAAGATTTCATATTTTTCTTCATTTTAGAAATTAAAAAAAACAGATAAACGCAAGAAAAAGTTAAAATCTACAATGAGCTTATTACCTAGAGATATCATCATGCACGTTATGTTGTTTGTCCTTCCATTTTTTCCCATTTCTAATTATATTTATAAACAGAACCACCTAATATTCTCACCATCCAGATACTTGACTCGTACACTGATACCATAAGTTAACTGTATCATTAATATGAAGTTACTGTAAGTAACAATGTCCCCACTACATGAACAAGATACACGCAAAGATGCCTGCACTCTGACAACAGATAGAAAATGAACGGACCTGGTGAAACACTACACAAACTAACGCTGACGTTGCCTTAGGAAATGATTCAATCTTGAATGTTATTAATTATGACTTAGATAAATGAAATTTCCACGAAAAACTGCAAAGTCACTCATAATGACATTTACATGTATTTCTTATGTGATAGCATCTCACAAAGAACTATATGAAAAGCAAAAATAAAGTTAGAAGATGAACAGGGTGAAAAAAGGGTACAACACACTCATTCTTGTTATCATTTTAGTGATGACCCTGTACCACCAAAATGTTGGTTGTTATTTTCTGATGATATAAAAGAACTCAAACCTATTCTTTTCATTAATGGAAAAAAAATCTGGAAGAACTCTTCAATTGGGGCCACACCAAGAGATAACACAAGGGTTAGTATTGTGATGTGCTAGAAGTGCCATTTCTAAAAAATTGAATGTTTTCCTGATTTTTTTTTTTCCTCCTTAAAGAATCATCTTAGAGAGGCAAAAAAAAAAAAAAAAAAACCTTGTGAGGCAAGAACTTGGGGTACTTGTGTGGGGCAGCAGTTGCTAGCCAGTCTGTTCTAGAAGACTTGAACGATTTTATCTTTAGGGCATGTATTTAGGGACGCTTTTGTCCTCATTGATCCATTCCAGGTTTCATTTGATTTTAGCCTCCTTTTTTCAGCTGTGAAGTTCTATATCGCTAATAAAAGAGGCTAAAATTGTTTAACCATGTTTCTTCATTTACGTTAATGGAGTTTGGGGTTCATGGAGTTAATTAACAAAAGTGGTTAAAGGGATTTGAATTATTTACTCTGGAGAAGAGAAAAATGGAAGTATTTCCTATAGTCTTCAATTATATTAACTTTCAGTATAGGATGAGACAGTAATTATTAGACTTTGCCCAGCTATGCTTTATCCTGCACAGCATCTAATATACTACAGATGTTTAATAGGCACAAATATCAAGGACCGTAAAAGGATATGACATATATTCATCTTAGACTGACATATAGACATCTGACAGATGCTATGTCACTGTCTACTTGCACATAGTGCTTAGCAAGCCTGTAGTCTGCAAGCAAAATTATCTGCTTCCTTAGAAAGATGTAGACAGCAGCAGTTCCAAACGAGAAAGAGATTTTTTTAATAAGCACTCAAAGTCACAATACATTAAAATTAATGTATGATTATGCTTAATAATAATGATATTGAGTGGGGAGGACTGATTAGAGGTACATTCTATTATACAGGAGATGGAAAATACATCAAGGTTAGCTTGTAGAAGAAAAGGAAATAAGTTGATTAATTCTGGAGAAACTGTACAGGTCAGTACTTAAGAACAAATCTTACTTAGGAGAGGTGAAGAAAAAAGAAGATACAGTCAGAATTGTAAAATGAGAGGTCTAATTCTAAGCTCAGAGTAAGGGTCACAAAGTGAAAGGTAGATTGAATGGATTGGGCGAAGATGCACTATGTGTATCCATTCTTGCTTGCCTGGGTTAGCAAGAATAGGACCTCTATAAGCCAGAACCTTCCATTCTATCTCTTTAGAGAAAGGTGTGAAGACAGGTTTGGGAGGGCTTTGTGACATAAAGAATGACATCAGAAAGGGCAGGGATAGGGCTCATATAAAGAACAGTATTAGTGTTGGCCTATAAGTATAAGAGAGCTTCCAGGGAGTGCTGACTTTTGCTTTTCCTGCTTTAAGTAGTGGCATATCCACAGTGTATTGCCTGGCACTGTATTGATACTTAAAAGGAATCACCAGAAATTAGAAATACTGAACTGAGGAAAGCTAGATGTTCCTTTTCCTGATGTCCTGTCTAAGGAAAACATCCTATCCCTGCCATTACCTCAGGCACACAATAAATAAGCTAAGCAAATAATTGTGGTAACTGACTCTTCTGGGAGAAACAGTTCTAGATGATATTATGTTAGGTTTTGAAACCTAATTGTATATCAGTATCTGGGTAGATTTCAAAAAAAAATTCAAATGCTTGGCTCACCCTAGATCTACCGAACAAAATCTTTGAGAATGGGGATTAGGAATTTATTATTTTAACTAGCTTCTCATGTACTTCTTAAGTAGCCTGCCCAGAACTAGACCGCAGGAGCTTCTTGGACCAATAATAAATTCCTTCAGCCCAATTGTAGAAATACAATTATAACATTAGAGGAAAGTCATTTTTTATAAAATAAGTCATCATTTTTCAATTTTTCAATAAACTACATTTGGAATGTAAATAACTATCTCTGAATGGATGGTGGATGAATGAATGAGTGTATGAATGAATGCTCAAGGTAACACTTCATTTTATCACACCATCAATTGATCTTAACATATAGCAAATCTATTTAACAAATATTTATTGAGTATTTACTATGGGTAAAGTATTGTAGGGGCATGATTTTGAAAAGGCTGTGTATAAATGGAATTTTTCCAGGATGTTTTTTAATATTCCATTGACTTACATGATAATCCAACATTATCTTAGCTCTGATTGAATTTCAAGTGACTTTTTAACATTGAAACACAGCTTTCAGATTTCCTATCTCTCTCTCTCTTTTAACAGAAAATAATCACTATTTAAATACTAAATTGTAAAAAAAAAGATATGTTTTCTACTGAAAAAAATTCTTTGTTGAATCTTTTAAAAAGCTGAACTCTTTAGTATTTAAGAATTCTCTGCTTTTACTCCCATTTATTTTACAAATTCATTGTTTTAGAATAGGTTTTCTTATAGTAGATTCTTAGTGCTCTTGAGCTGTGTGTGCTCTGAGAAAGACCTGTACTACATGAAATGAAGAAACAGCTCTTGGTTTCAAAATTAGTTAACAGGCTAATGATAATTTTAACAGCTTGCAACTCCCTGGGCAATCAAAGCTAAAGTTGTTAATGATTAAGAAATCAAAGAAACTCTAATACTTTAATAGCTGAGCGTATGCATGAAACCTGTCACTAACACAGAAACTTGGAAAATTATTAGGAATCTTCCCCCATGGGGTTAGTCATAGCTGTTATTTAGAACTTGGACAGCTGTAACTCTACTGTAAAATAATATCTAATTCTGTCAATAATATCACACATAAAGACACTGAAGGAGTCCAATGGAAGGCAAAGAATGGTATATAGTTACCATCACATTCAACTAACAGTGGCAGGTGGAAGGATTTTCAACAGACTAAATGAAACATTTGTAAAACTACCTTTGAATCAGGTGAAAAATGCACATGAAAGATGCAAAATCTGAGCTGTACAGGCATTTAGAGTCATTATTATGTTTATAAGTCTAGAAGGTACACAATCATTTGATTTGCATGATAATCGGGACAAAAGGTTAAAATTTTCTACTGGAATCTTGAGATTCTCTTTGGAAAAATTGTCCCAGAAAAGTTTTAGATGATCTGAGGTCTGAAATGAACTAAATGATATAAACATGAACAGATCAGAAGAAAATCTTTTCAGAATAGTAATGAACTCCTTGATGTCACACTGAATACTTCTATATCTAAACAACTTCTAACATCAACCCTGCTGGTTAATGATAGTTATTACATCTCTTCAATCCTTGGTGGCTCTCACAGTATTTGTCTTGTCATTAGCTCTACATCTATAATTGGGAAAGGATAGGAGGAAAAATTAAATTCAAATGGGGGTATTTGTATCAATTGCATCAGTTTTAGTAGGAAATGTGGGAGAGGTAGGAAAGGGAAGAGGCTGAAGCTGCTGGCTGAAATAGAAGTCTATGGATCATTCATTCATTTCACAAATGACAATGTGCTTACTGCTCTCCTAGGTGTTGAAAGAGGCAAATAAGATA